AGTTGAAGAACCTTAGGGTGCAATTTATGGAAGACATAGTCGAAAGAAAAGTGAAAATCTGACAACCAAATTGTACAAGATAAACTTGAGGGACCTAGCATGCAAATATTGGAGGTCTTGAGCCGCAAAATTGGAAAAGAACTTAGCTGGGAGTGCACCTCGCCTAAGCCTGCAGGTTACTGAGGCTCAGGTTTTCATCTAGGTTCGCAACATTGGGCAAGCCTAAGGTAAAAAGGTTGGGGCCGATTTCCTTTTAATCAGAAATTTTGAGGGCTTTTCTTGCAAATTCTGGACAGTTTTAGGATGTAAAAATGGAGGAAAAATGGGGGCAGCTGATTCATTCATCCTTTTTTCTTTTTCTTTTTATTTCATTTTTCTGTTCTGTTCTTTCCTTTCTTCTCTCTTTCTTCTCTTTTTTTTTCTTTTGATTTTTCTTGGTATTTTGGCAAAATCATAGAAATCAAAAGGAGTTGGAGAAATTTTGGAGAAATCAAGAGCTACTCATTATCATCTTCACGAATTCCAACCACGTTTCTCTTCTAGAACACCCCCAGTGTTATGTTTTCTTATTTTGCATATTTTCAGTTAATTTTCCATATTTTCCAAAATCAAATCCTTATTTTATTTTTGAGTTTTAGAATAGTTTAGTTTATTTTAAGTTATTTGTGATTCATAATCTATACCTCGTTTCCCCTTAAGTCTTTTATATGTTCATTGGTTTATTAGATGTTAGAGTTAAGTAACACTTGTTCCAATTATTTGATCTTAATACTTTATTTGATTTTTCAGGAACACGACGTCGTGGAACTTTTAAACCAATATTTACCAAGGAGCCAAATGGAACAATAGGAAAGTTAGTCATTGAATTACACGCCATATCAGGGGAGTCTTTTCTTCACTTTCTTCCCAACCTCTTTATATGCGAATTTAGAATTAAAGACATTGAGGACAATGTCTAATTTAAGTTTTAGAATGGAAAACATGAGTTTTCATTTTTTTTTAATTTGTTTTTGTGTGCTTTTATTGTTTTAATGAAAAAATAATAATTCTTAAAAAAAAATTCTTTTTTTTTGTGCTTATGTGAGTTAGTTGGCCTGACTGGCAATGCTAAATATATTGAATCATGTATTGATCTATAATGGTGAATAAAATGAATACTTAGAGATTATTTTTTGTTTTTCCATGTGAAATTTTGATACATTTTGTGCACATGAATTAAGTTAAGTATTGTGTAAGAATAAGTTGATTTCATAATTGAATATGTTGAAATAGTAGACCATAGATGATAAACCCAAAACTACTAAATTTTACATTTTTAGACCAAATTTAGAATAGTTTGGGGGAATTTCACTGTTGTAGGAAGATGTTGAGATAAATAGAGATTCCATGTGTGAAACTAAAAATCTTATGTGGATTGTCTAAGGTCAATATGATGCAATTGGGTGAAAATCTCGAGTTAAAGGTCGTTTTACTTGAATTGGTGTTAAATGAGGGATATTGCACTAATCAAGGTATTAAAAAAAATTTTATTTGAAAATTTCTTTTCATAACCTTTATGATTCGACCAATTAAGCCTACAAGGGTCTTTAAAACCTGGTGTCATAAGATCATTTGATTTGAGAGTTATCGGCTGAAAGCTTGTTACATGGATAATTTAGAAAGTTTAAGGGAGAAAATGCTTCCAATAAAAAAAGAATTATAAAAAAAAGTAAAAAAAAATTGAAAAAAAAATCAGAAAAAACAAGTGCATAAAATAAAAGATGCACCAAATGCATGGGTTATGTCTCAAAACACATGTTTAAGAAAATTTGACTTTTGATAAGAGATTATTAGCTTAGTTAAATTCTAGAGATTGAAGCGATCAAATTTAATGAACAATCCTTGTTTATTGAAATGTTGAACTGCGATTGGTGAAATTTTGTCAATCTAGAGAGGTGAGGTTATTAGAAAATTCAACCTTAGCTCACACACTGAAAAAGAGCGAAAATAATAAGTTTGGGGATGTGTGAATCTTACAAGTGATGAAAGAACATATTTGACCATTGAGGGTCGAGAATCGAAACAACTTATGAATTCATAATGCTATGCTGCACACACACAAACGCACACACTTCGATTTTACAATGGAAAAGTGGATTTTAATTTTTGTATTGCGATTTTGAAGTCGTACATAGACTTGTTACTATGATTTCAATCCAGAGATGAAAAGCAAAGTTAACTAGCTAAAATCTTGTTGCGTAACTTGATTAACTAGCCACCAATCAGGTAAGTAGCATTGCAAGTTTGTATGTTTGTTAAGTTAGGTTATCGTTTTGTTTGAGGACAAACAAATGCTTAAATTTGGGGATGTTTGATAAGTGTACTTTAAACACTTATCCGGGCTCCAAAATATTGACATTTCATAATTCTATTAATGAAATTACAGCCTAATTTATTATATAATTTGTTATTGGTGAAACTCAATGAACAGAAGTGAAATTGAAAGAAAAAAGCGAAAAATAGCAAGATCCAAAGCTTGGGGGCTAAAGTGTAAATATCCAAAAGTGGTTTCAAAGGTCACGATGAAGATTCGAGAATGTTAGAGTTCAAATGGATACAAGTAAAGATTAAAAGGAGTGAAAACAAATCAATTTTCAACCCGCGCAAGGATGTCCAAATATTTAGTTTGAGATTGAGACCCATTTTTGTCCCATTAAACGTTCGAATTGGAAAAGATCTATTTCTATCGAAGTTTTAGATCATTGAGTTATCTTTCTAATGCATTTCGAATCGTTTTAATCAGATTTCGGCAAAAAAAAGTTATGACAACAATACTGAAATAGACGCAAAGTGAACAGAAACTCAGCGCCCAAGCCCCGTAAACACAGTGCCTAGGCGCTGCACTATCCAAAATTTTACAGATTTGCAGCGCCCAGGTGCTACAATCATGGCGCCTAGGTGCTGCACCGTCAATTTTTAGGTTTTGTTGTTTGGGCCGCGAGCAGCCTACAAAAAGACTCCAATTTGGTCAAGGACGTTTGAAAAACTATAAATAGACCTAAGGAGGCACTAATAAAGGGGTTCCTACACATTGAAAAGAGGGTTCCATACTCTATAAAATTGAGAGAAAAAGACAAGATTGAAGAGAACTTCGAGAGAAGAAATACATCAAGGATTCGAGTTCAAATTAAGGATTGTAAGAGGAGGAAGATCTTGGTGCAAGAGCTAATTCTTTTTCATCTTTATCCATTTGTGTTTGTTATTTCATCATAATTTTCGTTTGTTTTAGACATTTAGTTCATTTTAGAAAATCAATATTCACAACTATTAAAATCCTTTATTTGTTTGTCTTTTATCAAATAGGAGTTAGGAAAAGTAGGTTAAGACTATAGTATAGTTCTAGTAGGAATGATAATCCGAACTCAAACGTCTACTATATTACTTGCTACGATATCGTACACTTGCGATACATAAAACACCAGCTATCTGGTCAAGTTAAATTTTCATGTGCTCCAAATGCGGGAATTTCGTCAAAAATTTCGTCACTTCTTGCATTTGTTAATTGTGGTTCTAGCAGCCTTATTCCCAGAGAAGGCAATAAGGCAACCCAAATATGGCAGCTTTCATTCGCCTTATTGGCAGTCATAAATGGTTTGATTGTATTCCACGTTTTCTGTCGCCAGTCATTTGTGGAGAAATGATTTAAAATTACCGAGTAATGAAAAAACGTAAGATAATTACATTTTTTGCGAGCTATCAAGTTAAAACTTTACTTCCCAGACAGAGCTATTGCTGTTCATGTTGAACTTTGATTTTCATGTGAAAATACCATGTTAATTAGCAGCCTGTTATCGCCGTTGTTGGGGGCTAGACATCGGGGGTGGGTGGTAGAGCAAACGCTCTCTAGGTGTCGTTCTACTATCACTGAAACTGAACAAGAATATAAAAGAGACATGGGATGTTTGTTGTTGATTAGTCCAGTTCAATGTACCAAGCAAACTAATCCAACCATTACCAATGCAATGAATAGCACAATTGAGCAAACAGAGAGCACTTCAGAGCATAATAGGAAACTCTACAGCAGCATGTCCGAGTTTTAGCATTCAGGTTTGCATATTTCATTGCAGAAAAAAATCAGATCACTCTAAAATCACACAAAGAATTCGACACTTTGCTTTCGATCATCAAATAACAAGATATATTACCCAGCAACAGATCTATTATTACATCAAGTAAAATTATAGATTGTACCTGAGTGTGAAAGTTGACGGCCAAAACTAACAGTTTGCATAAGTTTGGTCCTTAACTTTTCATCACAGAACCTGCCAAATCTGGCTGAATCCAGAAGCATTTGTCGTGTGTTCTGTATGTTGAATTCAACAGTAACATGAAAAAGAGGCGTGTGATACATTTAATTGTTGCTCTGGTAGTGTTTAGTCCAACTTAACGAGCTGACCATTGAACCACTGGCAATGATACCACAATTGAGCAAACACCATCTTCCTCAAACGCTAAATAGTATACAAATTCAAATGACCACAAAACATATACTTATCTGATCATTGACAGTAACCTATGCAGACTTGTAGCATAATTTGAACAAATAGACATTGAAATGCACTGCAAAAAACACAATCAGGTTGAATCAATCAATTCGTATTTCATCACAATCAATTTCGATACCAAAAATGTTTTCCTTTCAGCCAATTACCAGTTCCATTCTATCTCAATCTTTATACATGAATCCTATAGAAATCTTTCACTATGACAACCAACAATTTTTTCTTGACGAATTTCACTATAATCAAGCACTTCTTTTGAGGGGAAGTGTGAACAAAGTTCCATGTCGTCTAGACCTGATTAGATAATGGTTTTATAAGAGAATTGAGCTTCTCTTCTTAATTGGTCAGCCATTAGGATGGAACTCCACCCCCAACGGTTTGATATGTTCGATTGGGCAAGAATTCAAAAAAGAGACAAATGAGATGTTTATCCAATGTTAGCTTAACAAGAAGATTAATCTAACCATCAGCAATGAAAAGTAGGATTAAGCAAACACCGCCTTCATGAAATGCAACAAGGAACCATAACAGTTTGAACAAATAGACATTAAAAGTGCACTGTGAGACACAAAAATCAGATTGAATGAAAGAATTTCTATTTCATCATCATCCTGTTACAATCTAACAAACATATCAATTTGATACAAATATGTTTTCTTTTCAACCACTAATCAGTTCCATCCAATCTCAATCTCTATACATGAATCCTATATCAATCTTTCACTGCAACAACCAAGAATTTTTAAATTGTTCTAAAGCACTGTCCCTGAAATTATTGACTCTCACAAGACAAAAATGAGTACAAAAACACCCCAAACCTATCCCACCACCAACCCTACTAGTCTTCAACAAATAACAAGCTGGTCCACATTCAATCCCCTTACCCTGCACCACCACCCCCCATGCCCTTGTTACACCCTCTTCAACAAATTCTTGGTTCATCTTCTCATTACTACAACCATTTTGCTCTAACTCTTCAACAAAAATAAGCCCATCTGGGGATTTTGATTCCCCACTTTCCCATCCACCTTTCACAATTGGCCATTCCTCAAAAATGGCCTTTTCTGCCTTGAACCTCACCCCATCATCTTCTGTATAGATGTGGACTAGTAAGGGAGCCTGATTCAGATTCTTTACAATATCCGGCATTGACTCCTGCATCCAAGAATCAATTCTTTCTGGGAAAAGGGCATCTTTATTCTGCAAATCCTCCTTAAAAATGGCTAAATCCCGTGAAGTGATTGATGAAGATAAACACTTTTGTGGGGTTTTCTTGGTGGAATTAGACAGGCATAAAAATGGGTTCGAAGAAAAAATCTTAGTGGATTTGTTAGTGAAAAGAAATGAGGGATTTATGTTATGAATCCCAATAGCCGTCGCCATGATGTTGAACGACAGCGATTGGGAAAATGGTTAAAGTGATCTTTCAAAAATATTTCTCCTGCAAAAATGTGTTTCTTTCTTCGCTATGACGAATTATTATGCATTTATAAGGGGAATTGAAGAAATGATGGCCGCGTAAAGGCGGTGCCGTGGAGGATTCCAAATTAGTCAAGCTGTCCCCCAAATTGAACATGGGAGAGTCAGGGAGACCCAAGGAATTCAATATTGGTGTGTAGCAGCTGGCAGCTTGTGGTTGGTGGATAAACAAACTTCTGTTTACTTTACTTTTTTTTATTTTTAAGATTTTTCACGTGGGTTTATCTATCTTGTACGCGGAAAACATGGAATCTTGAAATTATAAATAAACGTGTATATTACATTTTGTTAAAATGTCATAGCATCTTCAATTATGCTGAAAAATATATATTTAAATTTTTAAAATGGCTGAAAATCTCTCCAATGAAAAGATGTAAGGGTGTGTTTGATTGCCAATCTTTTCCATGGAAAATGTCCTTTTTCCATCTAAATTCTTACTTTTGTGTTGTTTGATTACTATTATTTTCCATGGAAAATATTTTTATCGTTTTCCTCTCAAATTCCTACTTTAAAATGTTTGATTTCTATTTTTTTTCCATGGAAAATATTTTCCTACTTTTGATCACGTGACTAGATTTTCCACGAAAATAAGGAAAATATTTTCTTTGGGTTGAGGTAGATTTTATTTTCCAGGCAATTGGCAATTGGTAATTATCCTTTTAAACAAACCCACAAAGCACACGTTACCCCTCTCTTTCTCTCTCTCTCTCTCTCCTCTCTCTCTCTCGTCAATATTATCCCTCACCAGATTTCTTCAACCTTCTCTTCCTCATTCGACACTCTGCTTCGCCAATTGAATGGATTTATTTTCTGGGCTTTATTGAGTCTCTGCCAATCAAGTCGTAATCTTGGTATTTTCCGTTTTTTGTGTTTTAATTACTTGTTTTGGGTGTTGATTATTTGATTTATGGGTTCGTTCATCTTCGAAAAACCTTCAGGTATCCATAATCTAGGTTGTGACTTCACTACCATAAGCTCAATTCAGAAAAACCTTCAGGTATCCATTTTCCATTTTGAGTATTGCTTTGTTTTTTGTTGTTAAAAACTTGAACTCTAAGGGCATGTTTTAGGTTACTATAATGAAAGTCGCATTTTACGGGTGTTTTATTTCAATTGTGATTTCAAGTAATAATCCAAACCAAGGTTCAATATATAGGCACATTCCACTGACATCCCTTCAAGACCCTGTGCTGAAGAGATGTGCTCCATTCGTTCCCTTAACACTAGCTTTCCAATATCATATGCAATTTTATTTATTCGGTTTGGTTGTATAATTCTACTTCGTTATTTTTCAATGTCTTCACATGTTAGACTTTGGGGCCTAACGTGAATGTTGAACTCTCCAAACACAAGTTAGGTTATGATCTTAACTACTATATTCTCTTGCATAACTCAATAATATGTTGAAACCAGATTGATCTTACTCTGAATTGGGTTATTGCAGTCTGAAATATCTTATCACTTGGACCATTGAACTATTAGCTCATTCATATATGTTTGTTTTATATTGAAAGGGCTAAATTAATTATTTGTTTCTGGTACAATTATAATATGTAATGTATATGATTTTTCTATTGAATTTTTATTTAATACATGGTAGTGGGTAACATGGCTACAACAAGGAATCAACGTAGACGCCAACGACAACATTTGGGTTTATTTTGGACGATGGTCATGCAAGCGACTGTGCTATACAATGATATTAGACGTCGTGAACGACATCTCCCTAGGGCTCCTTATAGAAATTGGGATTCCGAAAGAGAAATGACACTTACACGAATGTTTGGAACGAGTGATAGAGATTGCTACTTTTTTACAATAGAGATTTTTGGGTATTTTTTTTAATTTCTTTGTTTTAGTTGGTCCGTACTATGCTGAACAAACTATGTTCATTATTCGTTGAATTGATTATTTGGTTATCTAGTAATGTGTTAATGTTTTAAGGTTTTCACTTGATNTAATCGAGCGGGATGTTTTACTTTCTTCAGATCTGGTCAAACATTGAGTTTTTACTTCCATAGGGTCTTACATGCTTGTCTTGGACTGTATAGAGATGTTGTGCTTAATGCCACTATTCATAACTCACCATACGAGAAGGAAAATGTGAAGCCATGGTACTCCTTTTTCAAGGTTAGGAATGTACTAATCATAATGTATTTCTTAAATGTTTAACATTTTAACATTTTGAAAGTATTCTTTTTTAAAGGATGCTGTAGGGGCAATAGATGGTACACATATTGCTGCGAACGTCCCCTTAGAGGAACAAGCTAGGTACCGGAATAGAAAGCAAGTGATTTCTCAAAATGTTTTAGTAGCTTGTACATTTGATATGAAATTTACTTATGTGCTTGCTGGTTGGGAGGGATCCGCACATGATGGTCGATTATTAAGGAGTGCAATATTACGCCAAGGACAATAGCTAACAATTCCTTCTGGTAAGTTGTATCCCTATTTTGAAAATCCAGTTTCTCGTAAAAATGATAATAATTAAAAGATAACCATGTTATGGACAATATTTTAATAGGTAAATCCAGTTGTATCCCTATTGCAACAAGTGTTGTCTAGTCTGGGATGTTTTACTTTCTTCAGATCTTGTCAAACATTGAGTTTTTACTTCCATAGGGTCTTACATGCTTGTCTTGGACTGTATAGAGATGTTGTGCTTAATGCCACTATTCATAACTCACCATACGAGAAGGAAAATGTGAAGCCATGGTACTCTTTTTTCAAGGTTAGGAATGTACTAATCATAATGTATTTCTTAAACGTTTAACATTTTAACATTTTGAAAGTATTCTTTTTTAAAGGATGCTGTAGGGGCAATAGATGGTACACATATTGCTGCGAACGTCCCCTTAGAGGAACAAGCTAGGTACCAGAATAGAAAGCAAGTGATTTCTCAAAATGTTTTAGTAGCTTGTACATTTGATATGAAATTTACTTATGTGCTTGCTGGTTGGGAGGGATCCGCACATGATGGTTGATTATTAAGGAGTGCAATATTACGCCAAGGACAACAGCTAACAATTCCTTCTGGTAAGTTGTATCCCTATTTTGAAAATCCAGTTTCTCGTAAAAATGATAATAATTAAATAATAACCATGTTATGGACAATATTTTAATAGGTAAATATTATCTTGTCGATGCTGGCTTTCCATTGGTTCCGAGGTTTCTTGCACCATACCGTAGTACTCGTTATCATCGTAGAGACATTGAGGGTCAACGTCCTGAAAGTAGCAAGGAATTGTTCAATTTTCGACATTCATCTCTACGTAATGTCATTAAGAGGACAATTGGTTTGCTTAAAACAAGATTTGCATATTTGAGACATCAACCCTACCACGACATTGCCACACAAGCAAAGATTGTCCTTGCTTGTTCTGTCTGAAAGTAGCAATGAATTGTTCAATTTTCGACATGCATCTCTACGTATTGTTATTGAGATGACAATTGGTTTGCTTAAAAAAAGATTTGCATATTTGAGACATCAACCCTACCACGACATTGACACACAAGCAAAGATTGTCCTTGCTTGTTCTGCCGTCCACAACTTCTTAAGAACTGATGATGTAGAAGATGTTTGTGATGAGGACTTAGATAGCAGCGATGATGAGGTTAACCCTACACATGTTGATGTACCTGAAGATGAAACTCCGAATGCTCAAATATCTTTCATAGCTCATGACGCATGGTCTAATAAGAGGAATACAATTGCTCATCTCTACGTTAGATACGCTAAACTACATCAATTGGCAATTGGTTCTGGAAAAACTACAAGGCATGAACTTAGACAAATGTGACGTAATGCAAGTCATGAAAGTATTTCAGTCGGACGAGAGTCTAGCTAGAGTATTTATGAGCTTGACTGATAAAGAATTCATGCGGTATATGGTATATGAGAAGCTTGGTCGTGATCCACCTCCACCACTTTAGGTAGCGTGCTTGGATAATTTAACAATCATATGTAAAAGTATGATATCTATGTTGGTTTGAATTGCTACTTTTTTACAATAGAGATTTTTGGGTATTTTTTTTTATTTCTTTGTTTTAGTTGGTCCGTACTATGCTGAACAAACTATGTTCATTATTCGTTGAATTGATTATTTGGTTATCTAGTAATGTGTTAATGTTTTAAGGTTTTCACTTGATCAAAAATTGGTCAATGTTTTAAGGTTTTCACATTATCAAAATTGTGGAGGGCACCAAATCTTTTGAGACATTGGATATGAAAGCTACTGAACACCATAAATAAAAGTGTAATTGCACCTGATTGTATGTGTTTTTATGAATTTCTTTCATGATCCGAGCCACCTCAATATAATATTCAAAGATTTGTTCAAGTGTTTGTTACGTATTAAATTCATCTTGCATCCGAATTATATTTGTGTAGAGATTGAAGGCATCATTGAACAATATTTCTAAAAATTGATAGAATAATTTTCATAGAAAAGTTACAATTTCCATGGAAAAAGTGACAAATTCCTTAGAAAATAATGGCTATCAAACAACAAAAGTTGGAAAAAATGGTTATTTCCATGGAAAATAATGACTATCAAACACCAAAAGATGGAAAAAGACAATATTTTCTAGGTTGAAAATTAAGTCAATCAAACACATTTAATTGAGATTTTCCATGCAAATAATTTCTAGGCAATTCAATTGCCTAGAATTTATTTTCTTTCCATGTAAATTCCATGCTTGCAATCAAACACACCATAAATGAAAACATTTTCCTCGTATTTAATAGTAACTCTTCGTCCGGTTCACCTTGTCCTTGTTGGTCAATATGCTTGCAATCAAACACACCCTAATTGTATTCTTCGATAGAAAATGTAAAAAAAAAAATATTTTTACATTCACAATCAGCAAAAATAGATTTAGAACTTTTCATTGAAGCGGAATTT